GAGGGGCCATGACGGAAAGGACGGCGGCGCCAGGCCCGGCGGCGGGGCCGGCCCCGGGGGCGTGCCCGGTGGCGACGGCGGCGGGGATGGCGCCCCCAACTTCATTTGGGCTCCCTGGTAGTTGGGGAGGCCATGCCCGAACTGGTTGTCGCGGCGGGGTTCGCCCAGTTCTTGGGCGCCCCCCTCAAGCCCCGTGCGGTCTTGGGGGTTGGTATAGGAGGGGTCCTTGGGTGGCCGCAAAGCGTTTTTGACGGGGCGGCTGGGGTCCGCCCTCCCCGTCCTTCCTTCCTTTCGGGGGGGGGGGGGGGGGGCTCACTTGTTCCAGAGCACCATTGCAAGGCCAGAGACGTGCGGCGCGGCCATGGAGGTCCCATCGTACGAATCATAGCCCGGGGGGCCGACCCCAGTGTCGCTCGGAGGGCCTAGGTAGGAGACAATGATCGCGTGAGAGCGGTGGGAGAGCGGCGGCGCTGCGGCCTTCTCGCACAGGGGTGGCACCGACGGTCGAGACGACGTCGACGCCTGGCGCTGCGATGTCGACTTCGTCGTTGAACTGCGAGAAGCTCGCCTTCGCGTCGCTGCTGTCGGTGGCGGCGACGCTCATTATCGAGGGGTACGACGCCGGGTAACTGTAGCTCATAGTGACGTTTCCGCCCCGAGCCATCTGCGCCACCCGGTTTGAAGCTCGCGCGCCACGCGTGGTCCTCGCCACGTTGGTCTCGCCGGTGACAACCAAACGAACTTTGGGTTGTTCGTTCGCGCGCCGGTCTTTCGTGGTAGGCGCCGCCGTGACGGACGCAAGCAGGGCAAGAAAGAGGACAAAGGGCATCTTGCTGTCTCGGATCCTGTCTCGGCTTGCGCGCGGTGTGTTGGCGGATAGCTTCGATTCGCCGCCGACATTGAACCAGGTTCGTTGTGAAGAGCTGGGCCGCGCCACCCAAGAGCCTAGGTAGGTGCGGATCGGCAAGAGCGCAATCCATCTTTTTGCCCTCTATCACCTTGGGTTGTAAGAACTTGAAACACACCACGCAGGGGCACAGCAAGCACGGATAGCCGTTGAGGAGAAAGGGCGTAAGCCGTAAGGTGTATGCGCAGCCACGGCCGTGTTGCGGTGGGCGCGCCACCTCCCGCGAGCGCGGCGGGATCGGAATTGCGGCCGGAGGGAAGGGCGAGCCGCCGCCGCCGCCGCCATATACCATCAGCGACGACCGCGGCTCGCCCCAAACGCCAGGCGCTGGATCGGCAGTAGGGCTTGGGCGGCGCAGCGTAGGCCTCGAGCCACACGAGTCGCCGACAACCCCCCCTCATCGACGTGATGGCCGCACCCGCTGCCGGCCGATGCAAGCTGCCGCCTCCACCGCACCAGCGATACTGGCCGCGGCTCGCCGCCACGCGCCGGCTCGGAAGAGGGGCTATCGGATAGCCTGGTGGTCGGATAGCTCGCTTTCAAAAGCGGATTCCCCCCGCCGACATTCTGTCTCGGCAGCGCGAGGACTGTTTTCTTTCTTTCTTGAGGGCACGGGACTGGCGAGTCGTAGTCGTCGAGAAGCGGGTCGATGCCCGCGGCCGCCAGGACTTCGGGCCAGCGGACCGACTGCAAGTAGTCGTCAGGGTCGATCGACTTGGCGTTCGTTGAAGACACTGATGATGGCCTCGATGTTGATCACCAGGTCGCCATATCGGAAGTGGAGCGGCTCGCTGACGATGTGCACGATGTTGTGCAAGGCGCAGTGGGTCAGTCGGAGTGACTCCTCGCACTCGATCTTCTGCACCCACGCGAGGTTTCCGTGGCTCTCGAAGGCGTCCTCGACCAGTTGCAAGACAACCTCTTTAGAGACGACGTCGCTCGCGCGGGTCTCCCTCTTGACGTTAGACACGAGCATCAGAAGGCAGCGCGAGAGGTGGTCGTAGAGCGCCGACCGGCAGGTGCTGAAGCAGCCGCAGTAGCGCTCCTTCAGGTTTGCCGCGCATTCGGCGGGGCAAAAGCACTTGAACTGCCGGTGCGTCGAAAAAATCGCCATGGCCGACATTTTGGCGTCCCCTCGAATCCCGGGGCACGCGTGGCACAGGCGCTCGAAGAGGACGCCCGACCCGATCGGAATGTCGGCGAGCTCGTGCTCGTTCAGCCAGTTTAACCCTGGTAGGTGGACAAAAATATGCGTTTTTCGGCCTCCCCTCCCTAACATTAGCCGGCCAAAATGGACTCTGACCGGTTAATATTAGGGAGGGGGGGGCGGTCGGGTGTCAGACCTAGCGCTAGGCGTGCGAGGCTGACGTATTTTGGACAATCCACCTACCAGGGTTAAGGGGCAAAGTCGGCTTTCCCAAAAAGGCCCGTTTTCTCGTTTTTCATGCACACCCGGACACAGCCGAGCCTCAGGCGTCCAAATCGGGGGCTGTGGGGTAGACACGGCACCGGAGGCTTGGCCCGGGGGCGAAGTGAGGGGCGGCGAGGGCTATCTCGAGCACCAAGGCGACTTGCGGGAATCACTGCTGCACACCAGTGGCGCCCAGTCCGACGGCCTGACGGCGACTTATAGACTTTTCACGGGGGGGGAGCCTGCCCACGTGTTGCGTGTGACCTATGCGCGTGTAGCGGTTGCCGTATCGCCAGTGTTGAAGTGAATGTTGAAGTTATCTTTCGCTGGGGGCAGCCCGGCAAGGCTACTGCGAGGCCGCAGCAGCAACACACAAATACGTCCGCCGGGGACCGATCGGCCTAGACGCGTAGCGCATGACCAGGGGAGCTGGCAGACGGCCTCACGGACCAACACACATAGCTGAGAGGGCACCTCCGACGCTCAGCCACCAGTAGCAGTATATCTCTCAGCTGAGCCTGGAGTTGAGGCTCGGTTTCATCG